TTCTCTGTCTTGTCTGGTTGCTATCTGCAAGGCGAAATAAGAAAACTATCAGGAAAACTGTTTTTGTTTGTTTGCAATGTGCCATTTGAATATCAGTCAACCAACAATGCTGACGATAGAGTTCCTGCTTCTTGCGTAGCAGAGCCACTATAATGCTCTCTATCTCAGCCCTGAGATCCTCTGTTGCTCCCTGTTCTGCTGTGCTCCCTGGCTCTTAATAGGAAACACAATTATTTCAGAAATTGTTTAATTTAAAAATGTCTGATCACCTTAAGTAGTTAATATTTGAACAAACTAATTAACAGATGTGATTTACCTGTGACTGCCCACTGCTGAACATCACACACACACACACTGCTGTGCTGTTTGTTCAGTGATGTCATTCTTCTGGCGGAAATCACTGAAGCTGGCAACTTCCAGCTTTACCTTCTCGGAAATCTTGAAATCACACAAAAATAAAAAATACCATACAAGCTTTCAGACAATACTGAGAACAAATTGAAATTCCAATAGATGAATGAGCTTATTACAGATGGATAGACGCCAGCTCTGCTGTTTGTTGTTAAACTGTATGTTGTGTCAGGCAAAAGGACCATTGGGAAATGTCCTTACTTTGATGTATCTGCAGGCTAAGACTTTATGAAGGTTCTCTGTCTTTTTTCTGTTCCACCCCTTGGCCTGTTGCGTAAGCATATTCTCTCTCCCTGATTATAAAAAAATCTGCATGCATGATTGGATCAATTTACATGAGAAAGACCATTGCAGTTAGACATGACCAAACACACAAATCACTTTAGTGCAAGATAACATGAAAATTACATTTTAGAAGTCAGAAATACCTCATCATAGCGTATGGTTTGTATTGTGTCATACCAACCTGCCTTTGTCATGTACTTTGTGACAAGAGCTGCCCTGGAGAGAAAGCTGTTTACCTAGATAAACAATACAGAAATTAATGTATTCCTATATAACATTACAAAAAAAAGTATGTATATGTGAACATGTAGCCATACTGTTTTATTGTTTGTCTTATTGTTTAACTAATATCTTATCAGATAATGCAGATAATGAATTTGCAGATAAAGAATTTCCCTAACATAATCAAATGAGTGTATATAATTAAATAGTGAAGCTCAGAGGGAACAAAGCTTGAAATAGTGATGCATCATGCATAAAACACCACTGCTCACTTCACTTTTTTATTTCAACAAAATATGTGTTGCAACTACAGTTCAGATCGTGCTCTGATGGTCATTCGAGCAAGCATAGATCTTTGTTTGGTACCCTGATGTACTTTATCCTTCACACTCTGCTGAAATGTATCAGTAAAATCTCCTATATCTACATAGTTACAATAATGTCTGTAATAACATACTTGCTCAACTTCCTCTCCAACAGTGTTCCCTGCTCCATCCTGATTCCTACCGCCCCATCTCACCTGCAACAGTGTTGGATTAATTTCATACCATAACTTTAAATAATGTCATTTATTATGTGCACATTCAAATCTTTTTCACTTTAAAGGTGTCATATTTTATCTGCATAATATACTACACAAGATATACACAGCAAAATCCCCAGTGTTAATTCAACACTGCTCAGAGTGTATTTGGTCCCACTCTACAGAGTGTTAAAGTAACACTGAAGCAGTGTTAAAGTTAATGAGATAATTAAGTGACTAATTGGGTGATGATTGAGTATTAGTGATAAACACCTGCCCTGCTGTTAACGAGCAGAATCACTGAAAGAAAGAGAAACACAAGAACTACAACTGACCTCCAGTCACAGCCTTAGGTTAAATCAATTGAAGATACAAAGAAGACATTAAATCTGTGAAGTTCTCAGCAGAGGAGGATTAAACGACTCCACAAACAGCATTACCAGCTTCACTTATTACTAACCAGAATGACTTTATTTCTGTCAGACTTCTACAGAAGATTTTATTGAGAATTAACAGAGGTTTAGATGTTGATGGTTTAGTCACCATTTAAAAAAATCACCATTATGGTGAACAGTGTTTCCTTTATTTGGGCAATTTGACTCTTGCCTTCTCATGTGATTTTATGGTCTCTGTAACAGTGTTAAACAAAACACATAATTTGTTGCAAAGAAAGCCAAAATCAAAGATGGCCTAGAGATAATGTAATAATTTACAAGATAATAAAGGACAAAAAAGCTGCAAAATGTTATAAATAGTTCTAATTCTTTACAACATTTATTTTTGTACATATTAGACATCAAGCTGATTTTTATTTTATTTTTTAATGGAAAAACAATCTTTGGACAAACACACAGACATCAATAATCCACATATGAATCTCATCAATGGTGAAATGCTTTATGCCGCAATGCATTCTGGGAGGCACCATAGTTTAAAACTCTTCACTAGGGCTGGGCGATATATCGCACGATATTGTTATGCACATCTAATCAGTAAAGCCGGTTCCTTGATTAGTAGTAAATCACCTTCACATGCTTTCAAATTGACGATATGAGTGTTAAATTAAACTGTTATTTAGATAATTAAGTGATTAATTTAGTGATGATTGAGCATTATTGAAGAGACCTGATGATCACAAGCAGAATCGCTGAAGGAGAAAATCACAAATTGTAAGCCACCGTTATGGAGATCAGTGTCTGCTTTAGTTGGGCTCTTGACACTTATATTTTCACTTTAAGTTTTGTTTGCCTGTCGATATTGATTTATAACAGTCATATGTACAAAGGCAACTGTGATCTGATAGTGTTGGTTATGTTTTGACATAATCATGCAATGATCTGAAAAATTTAACTTATTCAGATGATTTGGTTAACTTGTTAGCTACAGTTTTGTAGTTCTGCAGCATATCTGTATTTTACTTATAACCTAAAATATTTAATAAAAAATATTCTGACCAAATCACTGTCATCTTTATTCAGTAACACAGAGATCAATAATCAGCCTGTCTATCTCAACCGTGGTGACATGTTGCCACCAATCACAACTCATTATTTTCCCACTTGAATATTCTACTCGTCACCGTTGTTGAGAAGCATTGACTGAATCTTGAGGTCTGTGTGTGCCTAAAAGAAAGATTTTTTTTTTTAAACAACTTTTGAGAAATCCATTATATTATATTTAACATTCTGGATGTTTATGCGGAATCTCAGTTATGCAGTAACCAACAGAATAAATTTTAAATTATGAAAGTCTTCGTATAACCAACATCATTTTATAGTTGTTTATTTTTGTTCATCTGACAGGTTTAACTCAGATGCAACAGCAAATTAAAATATAAAGTTTTTAATATAAGGGTCAAGAGCCCAACTAAAGTAAACACTCATCTCCATAACGGTGGCTTACAATTTTAGATTTTTTTTCCTTGTGATTCTGCTTTAGGTGTCTTCAATAATGCTCAATCATCACTCATTTAATCACTTAATTATCTAATTAACTTTAACACTCTTGAGTGTGGACTCATGTACACTCCCAGGTGTGTTAGTTTAACACGGGAGATTTTGTCGTGACGACGAGCCGTAGTTAACTGACCAGCTGAGCCATATCGCATTAAATATCGCTGGCGATACATCCTCGATATTAACGCGATTTGGCTCAGCTTGTCAGTGATCTACGGCTCTTTGTAGTAAATGCCGCTCCATCTGAAAGCAGGTGAAGGTGATTTACTACTAATCAAGGAACCGGCTTTACTGATTAGATGCGCATACAATATCGTGCGATATATATTGCCCAGCCCCACTCTTCACCATTGTTGAGTCACCTGTCACCATTGTTGAGATTGATATGCTGATTCATGATGTCTGTTTGTTTAAAAAAAAAGAAGTTTAATGATTTTCTGTCAAACTCTCTGCAGTGCATATAAAAAATCAGAATGTTGATGTTCAGTAAGCTGTCAAAAAAGGTGAAATTTATTTGTTAAAAAAAATTACAACCTTTGGTCAGGGATAATATTAGAGAACCATTATTTTTTATTTACTGTTTTATAATGAAAACTATTATTGCTGAACACCTTTGTTTATTGTTTGCTATGTAACAAACAGTATGATTTGGTAAACATTGTTACAAAGACCAAAATTGTACTTAAAATACTGAGAGTCAAACTGCCCAACTAAAGGAAACACTGATCACAATAATGGTGACCAAATATTTTAAAACATCAACATCTAAACCTCCGTTCATAGACATCTGACAGAAATAAAGTCATTCTGGTTAGTAATAAGTGAAGCTGGTAATGCTGTTTGTGGAGTCGTTTAATCCTCCTCTGCTGAGAACTTCACAGATTTAATGTCTTCTTTGTATCTTCAATTGATTTAACCTAAGGCTGTGACTGGAGGTCAGTTGTAGTTCTTGTGTTTCTCTTTCTTTCAGTGATTCTGCTCGTTAACAGCAGGGCAGGTGTTTATCACTAATACTCAATCATCACCCAATTAGTCACTTAATTATCTCATTAACTTTAACACTGCTTCAGTGTTACTTTAACACTCTGTAGAGTGGGACCAAATACACTCTGAGCAGTGTTGAATTAACACTGGGGATTTTGCTGTGTACTAATCACAGACTTACAACTTATTATATTACTACTAATACCAATTTAAAATAATAATAAAAAAACAATCATTGCACGACTTCTAGCACTAGCTGCCTGCTGGTTACTGTTGCATCTAAATTTCAGTAATTTGAGGTACCTCGCATTTTGCTGTATGAGCTTTGGCATGCATCACACTGAGAAATGGCCTCATTTCCATCAGTGGTTGAAGATCGGATGATTCTTCAGTCACTTTGCTTAGGTATGGCCACAGTACCTAAAAAGAAGCACAGCATTAGTAGGCATTAACTAACACTTTGCCTGGCCATCAATATAAAACGACTGAAAAAAAAAAAAACAGGCACTTGCCATTTAATGTACAGTAGGTTGACCAAGTTTCAATGTGAAAGAGAAAAATTACCTGCAGACAACATCCATGCAGAAGAAAGTGACATTGGCCCTCTCTGACAATTGCTTCTATAAAAACATTGGGTAGGCAAAGACCTCGCCACGGTAGTGGTCCAGTCCACGAAGCAATATCCCGTGTCTGATGCACAAGAGGACAATATTTTTAATGATCTGTTTACACAATAAGACCTGTGGAAAACAGAGCTAATCAAAAACCTCTATTCAAAGCTTAAATTCATTTGCACATACGCACGCACACAAACACTCATCCCCATCAATCCTCAAATCGCAAACACTCATCCCCATCAAGTAATTTATTTTAAAAATAAAGTGATGAAGCCAATCAGTATATGGGGATGATTGGGAGGCCATGATTGACAGAGGCCAAGGAGCAAATTTGACCAGGATGTCGGCATTACACCCCTACTCTTTTTGAAGGACAACCTGGGATTTTTAATGACCACAGAGTCAGGACCTCAGTTTAACATCTCATCTGAAGGACGGAAAGGACTTTACTTCCCATTAGGAAATACCTGACTCTGAACCTGACTCTGATGCATTTATCCACAATTGAGTTTCCACAGGGTGTGACAAGTGGCATCTGTACAATTGCATACTTCTGATCTACCCACATACCTGCAGACTGCCACTTGTATGCCCTCTTCATCTATTTTGGACGATGATTTTTTTGACATCTCCTTACTTGCCCTGAACCTTGAAACACCACATGTTCCACTGTTATCTGCCTGTAAAGTTAGATATCACTCATCTTAACAAATAGAAAACAGAAAAGACAAACAAACAAACATAAATAGATAAACTGTCTTAATATGCAGTATTAGACATACTCTTGTCATGCTGCTGCCTCTGATGTTGTTAAGAAAGGCTGATACCTCCTCATCTTTTGCAAGAAATAACCCCTTGTACAGAGAGTGTTCCTCATTCCTGTCCAATAAAATTGATAGCACAAAAAAAATATCTTTTAACCGACAAAACATTACTCTACATGCAACTATTTCTATGACAATGGTGTGGTTTTGACTGTGTAATATGAACATACCCCCTTGATTTTTTGAAGCGATAATGTTTGCGATTGCCATCACAACACACTGCCAACATGTCTGGGTGACATGCTGGACAATAAAAGTCATTTACTTCACACATCACATCTACTGTATGTTTGCAAAAACAATATTCAAAAAAACTTTTCTGGAACGTATCTGCACAGACATTCCCTGGCTATGACATAAAAAATTATTAGTGTTTACAGAAAATAAATATCACAATATTAGATACATTAATATGATTATGTGTTACAATGATTCAAGCAGATTTACCCTTCCAGCCTGAACAGAACGGTGCTCCAGTAGCTTTAAAAAGGCATGCCTTGACATCGAAGGAGCCGAAACTTTAATGTGAGCAAAAGCGTCGAAGACGTCAAACCTATATAGTGCATTTTTGGTTGACATCTCTTTCAGCGGACAGTTTAGCATCAAGCAGCACTGGCCTTGCTGCTTTTGCCCTTGTATCAGCGTGTAGCTGCCGCTGTGCCCATGCTGTTTTTTCAGCTGCCACATAAACCTCAACTGAGTCAAGCGTGTCCCTCAGCTATTGAAGACGTGTATCTGAAAATAAATGAAAATAAATAACTGTTAAACAACCCTTCGATTGAGTGAAGGCACAATAGATAAAAATGACTGAATGGTACAACAATAATTATGACTTAAAGTCTGACTTTGACCAAGCCATACACGACAGTGTCCATTCAATGTTGGTTTAATGTACTGTATATGGATTTGATCATGGTATCACGAACCATTGTATCACATGGTTTCACAAAACGTGTAATATGCTTCCAATAATAGACCAGTTTGAAATGAAGAGTAGGAGTGTCTATCACTCCCCAAAATAGGAAAAAATTTCTAAAAGCGAGCTATGCAAAAGCAATGAGTGCAGCATTGTAAAAATTTATAATATAATGCACATTCTTTCTACAACAACAAAATACAAACACAAACCACTTTTAATGTAGTTACGTGGAGAAGAAGTGTGAGACATCAACAACAATGAATCGAGGAAAAGTTTACAGGGTCATTAGAAAAGTTGTTGATATGGAGGGATAGGAAATGTTATAGGGATTATACAGACATACTGACCAAGACTTGCAGTCATCTCTTCTTCGATCTGAGGGACTTCCTCAGACACTGTGATCACTTGAACTTCAGAAGCTGTAAAGGCCAATGCAATAGGTTATCTATTCTATCAGGGTCTTACTGTAAAGCATCATATATTTCAGCCCAGAAAATTCACAAAATTCCATCATACATCTCACCAACATTTAGATAATAATCATTATTAAACTATAACAGTGTTATAAACAACGAACCTAATGCACGACGGTTTTTTTTTTTGACGCTTCTTACGTCTGTTACTTGTGGCCGCTGCGCTTGCGACTGCTTTCCCTCTCTTAGTCATCTTTCTTTTTTGGCTTCTTTTTTGACATGGCTTCCCATTGCAGCCTATATGAAAATAAAATATTAATGTTTTCTGATAGAATATCAGACTTATGGTTATGTTTGGACTTTGGACGCTTTTTCCAAAGTAACTAACATTAAAAAAACACAAAACTAAAACTACAAGACATAAAATACTACACTACTCCAATGTCCATTAAATGTCAAGAACATCAACAGCAACTACAACAAACAATATGTAATACCAATAGTTTTTTGACATAGATATGGGTGTAAAGTTGTCAAAATTTCTCACCCTGGCCTCGTTGAGAAGAGCCTTGCTTATTTCAGCAGCCATATGCCATCTGACCTCACTAGGATCTTCGAAGACTGCTGGGTGGTTTTCCGACATGGTGCATGCACAGATACAATACAAAAATACAGACAATAGACAAACAGTACAAATATGAAGATGAGTGTGTGTGCGTGCGTGCGTGTTTGTGTGTGTGTGAGTGAGAGAGAGAGAGAGAGAGAGAGAGAGTGTGTGTGTGTGTGTGTGTGAGAGAGAGACTAGAGAGAAACAGTGAGAGAGAGGTTGAAAGAGTGGCTCTTAAAAGTGCCTTTGTTTTCTATATAAAACTGAAATAGAGAGAAATGGAGATAAGATGTAAAACAGCAAATAATCTGTAGAACAGACAAGAAAGCATAATTAGATACATCTCTGAGAAAAAAAAATGTAATGTCTACATTAATGTGAGACACTAAAGGTGAATAGGGTAAAATTTTAAAAATAAAATGAATCTATTACCATGATCACCATGAACCTTCCTCAGTTGATTAATTACACAAGTATATAAAAACAATGTATTATAAGTTTTTGAAATTTGTATGTTTAATTATGCAAAATAGGAATTATCTCATTAAATATGCGCAATTTTTGCATATATATTTTCGGTAACAAATCTGAACACATGATAAAGCCAGGTGGAAAATTATTTTTTTCATTTAGTTTACACAAGATGGAAAAAGAATATCAGATGGACTTCAGGATAGGGCCTAACGTTAACGTTATATGCTTTCATCTCACTTTTCCATCACAAAAAAAAAAAAAAAATAAACGATTTTCACTATATTCCTTTGGTGTACATGGTGCTACATAGGATGACATGTTGGTAACATTACTGGAGAATGACAAAAAAACTAATTTTGAGAAAACGTCTTTATTTGTAAAAATGCATACTTTTTTAAGAGAAAAACAACTAACGTTATTTACAGACACGATATCATGTCAAATATTTAGCAATCAACAATACAAGCGATCTAAAACGCATTAAAACTTATATTTCAACATTGATATTTAGTAAATAAGTAGCAGGTCTGAGATACATACCGATTGGTAGAGGGGATCCTCGCAATGACGGAAAAACAATAGGTTACTTGCGTAACCCCGGTTCTCTGATAGCATTAAGTGAGGTGTCTCACTATGGGATACGCCCCTTCCGCGTATTCCTCAGAAGCCCTATTACATTACGCCAGCCCAATTGGCTGGCAGACGCTGTGTCTGGGAGTGGCTACCCCACCCCTCCGTATAAGAGGAGCGACACAGCGTCATTACGACATTCAAAACAAGCACACCTCTTCCTCGCTTCACACAGCAAGGAGGGTGATCTGGTGAGACACCTCACTAAATGCTATCAGAGAACCGGGGTTACGCAAGTAACCTATTGTTCTCTTTCAAGCATACGTTTCGGTGTCTCACTATGGGATATCCTAACTCCCGTATTGCCAGATTAGCCTGCTTCGAAGTCCCCTGCCAACCAAACACCGCCTTCAGGCTGAACGAGTCATGAGTCAAACTCCAACACTCAGTACCGCATGTGCTAAACTCTGTGCTGTAACATCCAGTTTATAAAACCTAGCAAATGTATGCGGCGAGGACCAACTCGCCGCTTTGCAAATATCCTGTATCGTGACTCCTTTAAAAGGGGCCCACGAAGTTGATATTCCCCTTGTTGAGTGTGCGCGTAAACCAGCTGGGGGCACCTGACCCTTACTGGAATATGCCAGTGAAATCGCCTCCACTATCCAGTGCGACAACCGCTGCTTTGTAATCGGCTTCCCCGTACGTGGTTTTAACCAAGATACAAACAGCTGATCACACTCCCGGAACCCTTTGGTCCTTTCAATGTAAATGCGTATGGCACGCACTGGGCACAGCTCATTTAGCTTTTGCTGTTCTGACGAGGCAAAAGGTGGTGGATAGAAAGCTCTTAACTCCAAAGGAGTAATAGAATTAACTATTTTGGGCATGAAAGCAGGATTAGGTCTCAAAATCACCCCTGCATCCCCGGGCATGAACTGTGTACATGCTGAATGCACCGAAAGTGCGTGAATCTCACTTACGCGCTTCGCGGAAGCCAAGGCTAACAGCAGCGCTGTTTTAAACAACAATATTTTCAAATCAATCTTGTCCAGTGGTTCAAATGGGGGCATCGAAAGAGCATCAAGTACCAGTGCTAAATCCCATGAAGGGGAAAGCGGTTTTGAAACTGGTAAGGCACGACGCGCGTCCTTCATGAACCTGCATACTAAAGGATGCTGCCCAACAGTTTTATTAACAAAACCTATGTGACAAGCAGAGATAGCGGCCAAATACACTTTAATGGTAGAAAATGCTTTCCCTTGATCTATCAAATCCTGTAGGAATGATAGAACAACTGCCACTGAACACTGAAAAGGGATCTCGTGCTTAGTAGCGCACCAGCACTCAAACACGCCCCATTTGCATTCATAGAGAGACCTAGTCGACGAAGCTCTAGCATTCTGTATGGTTCTGATAACACCGTCAGACAGACCGGTTGTACTCAAATTGAACCACTCACTGGCCAGGCCCATAGTGCCAATCGTTCTGGGTGTGGATGAAGAATCTCCCCCCCTGCTTGTGACAGTAGATCTCTGCGTAACGGGAGAGACCATGGGTCTTCGTACAGCATATGAATGATCTCCGCTAGCCAATATTTCCCTGGCCACCTCGGAGCTATTAATATGAGCTTCAATCCCTCCTCTCTCACTCTGTGGAGTGTTGGGGATATTAATGCTATCGGTGGGAACGCAAAGAGGAGAGTGCGAGGCCAATCGTGTGCCAGCGCATCTATCCCCAGGGGCGTGCTCTGGTCTTTCAGAGAGAAAAACAGAGGACACTGAGCATTGTCGTGCGACGCGAACAGATCCACCGTCGCCCTGCCGTATATTTCCCAGATTTGTTCGACCACTTCCTTGTTCAATTTCCACTCCCCGTACAGTGGATTGCCCCTGGACAGCAGATCCGCGCCCCGGTTCATGACACCCTGTATGTGCGTTGCTCTCAGGGATGAAAGGTTGGCATTGCTCCACAAAATCAGTTTGCGTGCCAGCATGTGTAAGGGAAGTGATCTGAGGCCTCCCTGTCGATTTATATATGCCACAATTGTAGTGTTGTCTGTCCTCACGAGAACATGGTGCCCTTTCAGAAAAGGGAGAAAATGCTTCACTGTCAGAAACACGGCCAGCATTTCCAGATAGTTTATGTGGAGATTGATCAGATGATGACCCCATCTTCCATTCACTATCCTGCCCTCGTAAATGCCCCCCCAACCGTACAACGACACGTCCGTCGTTATGACTTTCCTGGCTTGGACCACGCCCATGGGTACCCCTTGAACCAGAAAGGTTGGGTGTCTCCATTGACGCAGTGCACGGACTGCCTCTGACGTCACTCTCACTCTCTTTCGGCAGTGCCTTAATGGGTCCAGCCTCAGAGACGCTACCCAGCGCTGAAATTCTCTCATGAATAGTCTGCCTAAGGGAATGACTATTAGGGCTGAGGCCATCAGTCCCAATAATCTGAGGCATGTGCGGAAAGAGACATTCTTCCCTCTCTGAAATTCGGTCATGCATCGGGTGAATTTTACCACCCTGTCCTCTGACAGTCGCGCTTTGAAGGTCACCGAGTCCAGTGACAGCCCCAAATATGTTATGGACTGTGCGGGAATCAGAACACTCTTTCCGGTGTTCAGTTTTAAACCCAGTTTCTGTATGTGATCCAGAAGCATGATCGTGTGATATCTCACTTCTTGTTCTGACTG